CAAAGGATGTAAGTATCATTTTATTTTATATTTTCTTTGTTTTTTCACATAATTTCTCTCCATAAATAAAGAAGAGTCTCACTCATTTTCACACATTAATTTTACACCTTGGGTTCCCTCCCATTGTCATTTGGACAATGTTTAGCAAAACCCTTATTTTAATACTTCATTCATTTCTTTCTATTTAACTTTTGTTCTCAAAGTTCAACACATACAACATATACCCATACTCTCATTATTATGAAGAGAAAAATTGAGAAAGGTATTATAATAGAAAAAATAATAACAATCTTATTAAAAACAAAAGGAAATTCAATGGTCTCTATAGTTTTTGTAAAATAATCTAGGGCCACGGTTATAAAGGAATTATATTGTAACAAACAAGTTCCAGCTTCAGCAATCTAAAATCATAGATATGCTCTCAAGTGCATGGTCAAGAAGCCACTACCATTGGATCTGTCACCATGTATAGAGAGCACTAGTAAACCTTAACTAAAACTGAGAAACAGCAAAAATTGATGTCTTCTCCATTTCAGAAATATATGCAATTGTTAATTTAGATGATGCGCTTTAATAAGCAACACAAAAAAGTAATAACAGCTAATGAGATGACTTATGATGGATGGCATGACATTGATACAACAGTGCTATAGAAAAAGCTCATGCCAACTACAACAAGAACATGGTGAGAACACATTCATTCCTCATACTAGTTTATAGTAACTTCTATCCATTCATGTCAAAGTCCATGGAAGCAAATTTACCCCGTTATTCATCACACATACAGAATCAAACTCATCAAGAAGGAATCCATCAAATTTAATTACAAACTCAAATACACGTAAGCATATATCAACTCATCATCTAATTCATCATCAAAGTAACACACAAATTGTAAGAAAGAAGCGCATAAAACCTTGTCCATGGTGCGTTCACATCCCTATTTCCTGCCTTAATTAAATTCCTAGCATAAGAGAGTTTGATGAATTACTTCCTAAAATGCTGATAAGATAATAGAAAGGACTCAAATAAAGAAACCAGCAATACCGTGCGTGGAACATACAATGATACACTATTGTCAAGGTTTTAAATTGCAATCCCCAATTTATGCAACAATGTTCTGGTTTTGGTTCTATTTTCTAGATGACCTCATTGCAACCGCCGTTATTAGTTCATCTGTAGTCACAACTGCTATGGTAACTTATAACCTTCATTGATATATCAGTGTAATCATCATCATCATCACACTACATCAGTATCAATATGGAGAGCGACTTGTATTCCAGAATGCATCTGAAGGCATCTGAATAGAGTTGAGAAGATTAGGAGGCAAACCATGAAATTGTGAAGTAGTTGCATCTCCTAAAAGATGATTCTGCTGTTGTTGACCACCAAGCCCACCAGCAGCAGTTGGGGACCCAATCGAACCACCACTACCTTGTAGTGGAAGTGAAGAAGGATCATCTTCTTCCAAAGGAAGTCTCTCATAAGCAGCGTTACTAAACAAAGCCGAAATAATAATCACAGGACCTGAAGCCAAGAGTGTCCCCACCACACTTCCTCCCACAACCTGCCCTTGCCCGCCGGCCAAATAAATAGTCAAACCAGATGCAGCGGGCGGAGCAGGTGGTGGGAGAAAGGATCCGGCGAGGGACAAGATCTCGAACCTTCCATGAAGTGTGAGAACAGCACCAGAAGAAGCTGGTTGACGAAGAGTTACATTAGTAACGGTTCCGGTGCCGGACATGATGCACACACCTCTTTGGCGACGCCTAGCGAAGTTGGATACACTTTCCACGATGTCGCAACCGTCGGCAACTTCCATCACGTGCGTCTTTAGGGCATTTGCGCTGTCACGTGTGATGATGATTGGTGGCTTTGGTTTGTTCTTGGATCCAGCTGGTCTTCCTCTTGGTCTTCTTGACATCTCAGTTTCACCACCGAGTTCTTTCCCTTCACTGTTGTTCTTATTTTCATGGCGTTCTCTTTTGAGATTCAAGCCACCACCGCTGCTTCCGCTTTGAGAGTCTTCTGTTGTTTGTTGCTGTAAAGCGTGGAATTGATGCTGCTGCTGCTGCTGCTGCATATTGAAATCTCTTGTTGTGTGGAAAGGAGGGGGAAGAGAGTGCCCATGTGCTGAAATTGGATCCATTATTTGTTCTATTCGAGCTATGTGAGAATAATAATAATATCTCTCAAACTGAAAAGTTTCCTTTGCTTACACAAGAACAAGAAGATGGATTAGCCAATTATCTTTCTTTAATTAGATGATCTTTCTTTAAGAGATTGAAATAGAAGTTGATTGTGAGAAGAAAGAAGGGAAAGAAAGTGCTAAGTGTTATGTGTTGGGGTTAGGGTTAGATTGAGATAACAGATCCAAGGTTTGGGTAACACTGCGTGCATATGGGCGGTGGATGGGTCCCTAACTCTGCACTACAGATACATTTAGTTTTTTATAATTTTTGTACTTATATGCCTCAATTAGGGACGTACAGTGTTCAATCTTTAATGGGAAACTATTTCTGTAATAATTCAAATCAATCAAAGTCAATTTGTTGTTATTTCTGTAATTCAATTTTAACGTTTTTATATGGAAATATCATGGGAGCCTCAGGAATGAAAAGTGTTTAGTAAGAATAAAGGGTGTAAAGATGGAATAATGAATTGTTATCCTCTCTAGTGCTCAAACGTTAGAAGAATTAGAAATTTATAAGTTTTGAAAACATTTAATTAAAAAATATTTAAAAATCTGGATTAAAAGAATTTGGTAAGTGGTAACATATATTAGCATCTCTACTAGTACCAGAGACTCAAGAATAATATGTCTCATTTAGTTACACCTTTAATAGTATGGCTATTGAATCTTTAGTCCCCTGGTGAGAGTGATTCACTATATTTCACTATCCACCTTAATTGCTTGCTCATCAAGTATGAACTAATCTAAATCCCGCCAACAAGTATTATATGTCTTAAAAAAAATTGTTTCTATGGACTGAAACATAATGAGATACCAAACATTTGGACAAATTATCTCCATTTGATGCCCCACAACCGATCCAAAGATATTTGCCCTCAAACCCAATAGTAGAAATAGAAATATCCTAAACTCAGGTGTCGAGTATCAACAGTAGAACTTGTAAATTAACAAACTAATTACTACTTCCTCAAGTTTGTAAATAGAAAGCTCTTTCATTTTAATACTATTTGGACAAATTATTAGTCTTAGTATGAACTAATTATGGGAAACCCTCACACATTTTTTACTAGGAAGAATTCTCAAAATTAAACTATCATAATTGATCATAAGCGAAAATTAAAGACAAGCACTAGGAATGCTTAATAAGTTAGTAGCTTATCGATAGAAGATTTTGTTTGGTGTAGATATGAAATGGATTAATCGTAATTACTTTGTGGTTGAACATATCATCACGTATTATCTATAAACTATTCAACTAGGAAGGGGTAAGGAATATATCTTTTACTCAAAGTTCTGACTTTGATTTCATTTTGCTCACATATAGTTATTATTACAATGAAGGATAGAATAATAGAGCAAACAGAAACGTTAATTAATATAATTGTGCGTGAAGTACCTTTTTTGTCGTTTCCTGACAATATCCAAAACACAAACGAGAAATACGGTGGTACTATATGGCAGACTTGATTTTATTAATGAAACAAAATAGCTGGCAAATTTGAAGCTTAACTTAATTAGTCTTAAATGCACTAGTGTCATGGACAGAGAGAGTCATGAGGTTATGTTCAATTTTATAGGGAGCTAGACTCCTCTCAGGGATGTATAAAATAAAGCAAAAAATAAAATGAAATGATAATTATATTTTTCTATTTATATTTGTAATAATATTTTTATCTTTCAAACTAAATATAAAATTAGTACTCTTTAATAATGTAGAGGATCCAAACTCTTTTATATGATGCCTCACATGGACCCTAAATTTCATTTCTATTGATATGAATTAAGAATTTTAGTACATGACAAATGTCAACTACCTTGCTTCTTTCCCATGAACAAAGATCATATGTCGCAAAAAGAATCATCTATTTATGTTCATAATCAATCAAATTTGAACAAGTAATATAAAATAATTTTTCTTTTTAATTAAGTGTTATTTTTTAATTGGATTGAAACAGACATAAAATGTGACCGGTTATATAGTCATATCAATTTCATCTTGGTCTACTCAGTTTTATCCTAGATAGCCAAAGCATATATATCATGTTATGACTGGAGACTAGCTCAACCCCTTTAAATTTCGTTACCATTTTTCTTGTTGTAGTCAAGGCCACAAAGTATCTAATTGGTCATGGCCTTTGGACTGGAATATATGCGATCATAGGTTGATAAATCAAGTACAGTCCTACATCTATCTGATACTAATTTACACGATACAATCACTCATATCTGGAAAGAAAGAAAGAAAAGAAAACTAGCTTTATCTCTTTGTTAATAAGAAAAATAGCTTTATCTCTTTGTTAATAAGAAAAGTAGCTAGCTAAAGTAGGCTTAACATATTTTTACAGTGCCATAATAGAACAATTTATATCTACCAGGCCTACTAATTGGCTACTTGAGTAGTGGATCAAACTTTAAACATCAAAGGTATCCATGAATGCGCTAGCTCAGTGGCTCCACCTATCGTTTATTATATACAGAATGAAATAATCAAAACTTTTATTAAATGCAAAAAAATGTTTTATATTGGAGGAAGTCCCAACCTGACGAGGTTGATGAAATTGATTTTGTTATATATAGCTTATTACCTTTCAAGGATATATATTAACAAGCTCTAGAGAGAGTCAGCACTATAAACATTTAGGAGGTGTGAGTTAGTTTTTAGAGGGAGATGATGGAAGAAAAAAAAGAAGGTTTGGGAATATAGTTTTTCTCTTCATCTGAGGAGAAAAAAGTAAAAAATAAAAGAAAATTTGCCCTAGGACAAAAGAAAGTAGTTTTACAACGTGTGAGGAGGAAGGGGAGTATGTATTTTGTGTGTAGGGTATTTAATTTTCATATGAATATATGAAGACTAATCTCTTTTTACACAAATATAATTAGTAAAAGTAATTTAACTATACATTCTCATGTTTAGATACGATCAACAATTAATTTAAACCCTAATAAATATGATTAATAAGAGAAATTATTACATGAATTGGGATATATCTCATAATTAATGATATATGAATGCCTTAAAACTAAATGAAATTATTAGAAATGAATATAATTATGAAAGCATGTAATAATTTAGTGAATAAGAAAGTCACTCAAAGGTGTACCAATATATGATAGGTGGATATCTGAGGGTATAAGATGAAGTTAGTGGATCGCACGGAGTTGACCGCATAATCCGGAGTGTTGGAGTAAAAGTCGCGTATGTGTATATATATATATAATAATAAAGGACGTAGAGGGTGGAAAGAACCGCCGGAAAGTGTGCTGAAATAAACGGAAGTTCGTCTTTATTTATAAAGCACCACCAGACGCCAGCTCAGGTGACCTCTCTCTCTCTCTCTCTCTCTCTCTCTCTCTCTCTATCTATCTATCACACACACACACAAGTAGAGTAATAATAAATAGTAACTCTAGTTCCGTGCGTAAAATAAAACCTCATGCACCCAAAGATGCTCTTTGTCGGCCTCACCCCTTCTTTCTCTCTTCTCCTTCTTCATCCAAAGCACTCTTCGTGGACCCCACACAACTCACCCTCTCTTCCTTTTTTCCCTTCCCTTTCTCGTTTTCCGTGTTTCTCTCACATTCATACACGCCTATTTTTATGAATAATAAGATTATTAGGACATACACAATAGACAAACTTTTTTTTACAAGCAATGTTGCATCAAACTATAAGGACTCCAAAAAAAATTACAAGGCAAGTAAAGTAGTAAGAACGGAATTGGATTAGGGCATCAAACTCCATATGATGAACACATAAGTAAAAGATATTATTGTTCCTTTTTTCATTTCTTTCTGTAGCTTTAATTAGTTATACCTTCATAATTACTGATAAATGGGATCATCCCAAACTAACAATTACATGTATTGACTCCAATTTAAAATTCAGGTCTAAAAGAGATGATTAAATAGACTTATTTATTTAGTAATATATCTAGAGACAATAAGGACGTAATGTGGGGTAGATCCATGTGAATAAGGATAATCGGTGGATTAATGATAAAAACAACCTTCATCATGCATCCTATCCCTTTACGGGGTGTAAGGGACAGACAAGCTTTCCCGGTACAATATTTGACCATCTTTTTGTCAACTTCTATTGTTTTAAGATTGACCTTTTAATACCTTGCAAACAAAAATGACCTTATAACAATGTTTATGTGTCTCATGACTTATCTGAAACCTGAAGGAATCAAATAGTATTCATTTATTTATAAATATAGATTAATTATGAATTGTTTGATTGTTTATGAATGTTGAATAATATGTGGTTGGTGTTAAATGAAATATTATTTTTGCTGAAAGGGGTAGTTAAATTCAAATTATGAATCTAATCCAAATTAGATTGTGACATTGGTTCACAATTAGTGTTGCAAATAATGAATTTCTTTTTGCAAAATGCTACTTTATTATGCGGTCTTGTATTTTGATTTACTAAGGTAAGCACTCTTATACTCCTTTAATATATATTCTTTTGATTAGCACAAAAAAACGGTATGAATGTTGCCTGTTTTACGTTGAGTATCTATACAGGAAAAATGCATGGTAAAATATTGGGTAGGGCATATAACATTTCATTCAATATACGATTAGTCACACTCAAGTCCAATAACTTTTCATTCAAAATACCTTATATATTATTTACACCCACTTTCCGTCTCTTCCTCATCCCCTTCACTGAACAACTATTACTATAGTTAAAATTAAGTTTATATCTACAATTACATTGACAAAATGATAAACTGGACTGAGAAGCTGAGATAAATCCGTTTAGCCCAGCTTTTTTCACTCAACAGCCCATTAAGCATGGGTCCGTTTGTCTTCTCAAACAAATAGAGTTTTTTCTACGAATTTTCTAATATTTAATTATTTTCTCTCCCTTGTATCATGTACACTAACTCCCTTTATGCACCATTAACTGTATGTCAAATTTCAATTTTATGCACCATTAACTATCTGTCATATTTCATTTTTATGCACCATTAACTATTCCAAATCCCCCCCTCATCCACCTCTCTATCTCAATAATTTGAACTTTCTAAACATGCACTTTATGTTTCCCCAAGAAAGGGTGGAACTTGGTGAATAGTAGTTGTTCTAGTAAGTTGGCCCCTCCCACCATTTTAAATGCTTTGTGTGACGGAAGGAAGGATTTGAAATAGGAGATACTGGTTATTGCTGAATATAGAATTTGATTCTTGGTGGCATAAAAACAGGTTTAGGTAGAGAATAGAGACAGAACAACTTGGGTTCATTGTTAAATACTTAATACAACACTTGGCTTAGCCTCAGTTGTACATTAACAGCTACGATGATTATTAATATTTATGTTAGTGGTTCACTCCAATTTTTAAATTCATCTCTCACTCGTATATTACTTGAATACATGTTTTTTTTAAATAAAGAGATTTTATTAATGTAGTAAGTCAAAATTTGTAAAATTGTTTTTGAGTCTTATATTCATTTTGGACATCTGTTTTCTATGAGATTATAATAATAATTATAAAAAAACATCACTGTTTTAATTCTTTTCTTCCGGAGCTCCACTAGTAGGTTAATAGCCAGCCATTACAGGACGTTGTTATGTCATAAAAGTTCTATGGAATTTAAGATCTTGTATCACATCTCTCTATCTCTAACCCATTACCACCAATAAGATTTTGACAAATATATCAAATAAATATTAAATTAATATTTTAAGTTAACAACGTTACATATATGATTTTTTTAATATTGTTATCCAGGTATAGTAGGTGCTTACAGCTTGTAATTGTAAAGCAGAAGAAACTCAAGACAGGGCCTAAACAAATGTTATTCAGAGACCACAAGCACTCCTATAATGTCTCCAGCAAACACTCTCACGCCAAAGGACATGAATAACCAACAGGGTAGAAGAACTGAACAATATGTTTGATTTGGTGTAAATGATGGAAAACATTACAAATATAGTGGTAGTGGTTCATGTTAATGGTCACATTAGTACACCAACAAACAGAAGACAAATAATGAGGAAAACCCACATAATTTTATTAAAATAAATCAACATGAATACATACAGACTATCTAAATCTGTCACCTGTCAGAACCCACCACAACATCCTCCTAATTCCCTTTAAAAATATGCATGAAGGCATGAATAACAAGCATAAACATACAGGCCTAAGCAGCTACATGCATATGCATACTTGCATTGCATTGACACAGATATATCAGCTCAACAATCAAAACAAGCTTGTAACTCACCTTAACAAATGATAGTGTCAAATATGGTAAGAAATAGACTGCTCTCGTCGACGGTCTGAGTTTGCTGCATTGGTTGTTTTCAGTAAGCACTCCGCAAAACAAGCAATCGAATCCAATTAATCATCCACTGAAGTGTAGATCATCCTGCAGTAGAATTGACATTTTAGAACGAAATCTTCACCAAACCATAAAATTGACAGACAATAAGGTCGTTTTTTTGAGCGACTTACCAAAATACAGAGAAGAAAAGGGTAAAAATAAGATAGAAGAGTTTGACAAGCCGTTGCTTCTTTTCCCATGAGAGCAAGTTGAATATCTCAGTAACATCAATTAAATGCTTTCGTTCTCTATACCTGATTAAAAGAATAAAATAAGCAATTAGCAGGACCATATTATGCACATTCCAACACATTAAGATATCAAGCACTATTATGGCAAAAAAATGCAATTCATCTCCTTTGATCCTCTATCTAGTAAGCAACAATCTACCAGAAGCTCCAAACAGTTAACCAAACCAGTTTTTTTGTTTAATAAATTTAGAAAAGCAAACCAGGTCAAACAAAAAGATTCAGCAGAGAAACAGAACAAAAACTCCAATATAATAAAAAACAGTTTAATTGGTTTGGTTGTTTTCTTAACATTCCTTCAAACTAAAATGCAAAAGAATGCAAAGACCAGAGTTCAAATTCTAACTTGTTTCCCTCACCCAAAACTACCATACCACATATTTTCCCTTAGAAGAGATTTTACAGCAACAGAATATTTATTAACTTGTATAAGAAATTTAGCTTGATTAGCAACTCCATGAATGCAAAAACCAAACATATGTTAGTGCCATCAAATTGACCAGACCGATGCACCATCAACGAGTTACCCATGTAGTCATTTACTAGGTAGTCAAATTATTACAATGCTTCACATGCAAATACTGAAAACATTATAAAACAACCTATGCAACCCAATTTCAAGGTAGTGTGAAACATTGATATTTCAACTTAAAGTTTTCGTAAAATACAAAACAAATTGGCCAGTGGATTAGTTTTATAGAAAACTTACAATCGCACATTGAAGTAGAGGTAAGGAGCAGCGAACAGGGACATAATCCAGTGCCCTGTAATAAGGTAGAAACAGCATAGGACACCATGTGTAATAAACTCAGGCAAAACCACCTTGTTTATTCGGGATGAAGACTCATAAGGATTTATATAATCGAATTCGAGGTCAGCCAAGCACATTAGCTAGAACAAATGTTGAACCAAGTTAGCATATGTTAGATGATACTAATATAATGTAACCAAAAGCAACCAAGTTCATCTTAAAAGTCCTTGAAAAGAAACCAATGACAATGATTTAGAAGTGTTGCAAAGCACAAATAAGTAACAATATATCATCATAGGGATAAACATAACCCCGAAATCTGAAAATATGGGACACAAAAATACGCAAACATAGGAAGGTACACTACGCTAGAGATATAAATCAACAGTACGCATTTTGGGATATAACATCGCTTTCGGACGCTGTCTATGTGATCGCTATAGTATATGATATGATTTAACAACGTTTGTGCAGACGCTGTTGTATGTCATACTTACAACAGCGCCACCTCCATCAATATAAATGTATGTCATACGTATAAACGTATATATAGCCAGAAGAAAACTGGGTAATCTCCATCAATATTCACCATTTTTATTATATCTCATCACATCAGTACTTACTTACTTTTCCACATTCCAGTAGATAGGCCTCTTCCCAAAATCATGATAAATACCATTTCTTTAGGAAAAGTGATTATGATTTTCTCAAAAACATTATTGTAAGAAGCTGAAATTCAACCTTTTTATTTTCTTTTCATAAAAAAAAAACATTTTTAAGAAAGCTAAACTACACAAGCATATAAATGTCAAAAATATGATGGATTGAGCAAAAATGGCAATGATTATATTTTTGTTACAGACTCAAATAGAAATGTTCTACCTTGTTATCAATGATTTGAACTTTTGCGTTTCTTATATGAATGAAATTCCAAATTTTGCATTGACTATTGTTTTAAATAAAGCATTAGAATTAGAAAAGTTTGGAAATTAAAATGGTATATGGAATGGAAAAAAGGGAGAATAAGTAACCTGGTAAGTGACGAGGACAAGTAAGGCAATAAGGATGAAGAAGGAGATGAGCCATGCAAAAATATCACCCATCTTCTTCTTCTTCCTTTTATTTTTCTATCTTCGAAACTACGTCTTTCTCTTTCAACTTTCTTCAACTTAGATATTTCTATTATAATCCGATTCCTACGACAACATGCACACGTTTGCGCCTGTGCTAAGCACGTGGGGACGCATTCCTCTAGATATCTACGCAACACCCTACATCTACATCCACTCTAATACGTACATGTATAAATCTATGTATATATATACACCATCAATTCACACATCTCCCTCAAAATAATTACAAACAATAATAGCAAACTCCACTTAGCCTACCAAATCTTTGACTCAATTTTCTTCTTTTGCCTTTCCCCTTGTGATTGTAGAATGGTGATTTGGTTGTACAACATTTTTTAGCTACATGTATTTTTTTTTGTATACGAAGGAATTGTTCTCGAGCATCAAACATTCACATTATCCTCAGATTAACTCTTTTATGAGCAAAAGTTTTCCTTTTTCATTTTGTACAACTCAAACCAAATAAGGTTTTTCACTGGCACGTATAGAATCTAAGTCTTAATTAATGGGGCTTTTCTTTCAAGATATGTATAATCATAGGCACGTACAGCAAATCCTGGTGTATCTAATGTATTTATATTTAATTAAATTGTTATTTTTTTTAAATGAGTACAAATATTCTTTACATTTATTGCTTCCTGTTTTAAATAATTAGGTTGAAGTGTTACTTTGTTTGGGTTATATATATATATATATGTGTGAAACATATAATTATAGTTTTGATTTAAAAATATATATCTATATATAGTTAATAAGCTCGACACATTTCATTAGAAGGAATAAGATTTAGAAGTTGACTTCAATTAATTTCAAATTTAAAGTTCAGTGAAGTAGTGCACAGTCTCCTGAGTTATTGAATCAATAGTTCATTTCATCATTTTATTTTAAGCAACAAATATAAAATCTGATATTTTTACAATTTCAATGACAGGATGCGAAGCACATGGTTGCATTTACAATTTGAATAAATAATATGTACATGCATAGATACATCACAGTTGAAATGAAAGGGTTAAAACTTTGCTTGAAAAGAAATATGTAAAAAATGGTTTTTTTATTAATTTCGTTCATGTATTTATATTCCTGAAATAAAACATATTCTTCATGTACCTTCGGGGTTTTTGTCTACCTATCCATCATCTCACTGCGAGCAAATAACAATGTTCCAAAGCCTTTGAGCTCTTCTTACAATTTTGTTAATCTTTCGCGCAATGAAAGAAGCAGGTAACAATGGAGGAGCTGCAATGCGTGGACCACTTTCTGAATGAAATGAATTCAAAGCAGATAATGACCCTTTCTTTCGCAGATAAAAACTTCTGCTACCCACATCCCCTATGACTTCTGATTTGTCCAAACCTAGCATGCGTGAAAATAATATATGCCGAATAAATAATCCTCAAAAACACTTGCACAGATCAGCAAAAATAATAAAGTAAGGGCTAGCTCTTCCTATATATAATTAATAATGATCATCTTAGACATTTGAACAAATATTAGGAGGTTTAAACCTATAAACAATTACTTACAGAAAGTTAATATTATTCAATCTACTATCCATGTTTTGGCTTGTGTCAAGTCACCCATGCAAATGAGTTAAAAGTATTTAAATTTTGGTTATATACTAATGAGTTATATATAGGAATCTTTGGTTATATACTAATGAGTTAAAATTATTTAAAATTTTCAAAGGCAATTGTTTTGATATATTTAGGGTCATGGTTGAAGACCTCACAATAATTTATGGAGCTTAAGGCTATGCAGTAGTTCTACTAATATGGTCAAACTATTTCTTATACATCTCAAAATTAATTAATGTTTATGAGAGTGTAGAATTTGATTTAGAAATGTGAGATATTAATTTTTCACTTACTTTGGAGACTGAAATGGGAGTCATGCAATTGGAAGAAAGATGAGGGACTAGGATTGAGTTTAGGGCTCCTCCCTTCTTCTCTATATCTATCTACCACACGCTTTATTGTGTCCTCTACAGTGGACCCCAATTTAACCATGGTTCTGATTGGCCCTGGACTTCCTTCAACGGTCACATTAACCACCACCTTAGCTTCCTTGTTGTACCCCTGTGTCTAATACAAATGATCACCAAACACAACTTTAGAGGGCGGAAACGTGATTCCCGATTCATTAGGTCAAAAAGTAGTGAAAATACACAATGCTCCTACATTGTTTATAAGATTTGAATATCATCTCTTCATGTCACAAGATATATAATCTTATGGATACATATATGTTCACCCTCTTCTTAATTCATTATGTAATATAGATATGTAATAATCAATCAACTGCAATTGCTGACAGCTATCACTTATGGGGTTGATCAAGTTTATTAGTAATTACTGTTTTTATTAATTAATTATCATTTATCAGGCATGCATGCTACATCATTATGCCTAATTAATATTTAGATCAATCCTACTCGTTTATGCTGTGTAAT